GGGGGGGGGGGGGGGGGGCGGTGGCCTCAGCTCCAACACCGCCTACCGCCCGTGCTGTGGTGCTGGACACAGGTCACCCACAAATATTGGTGGGCCCAGCCCTGCCCTGGGCTGAAGAGCCAGGTCTGCAGTGGGGACGTAGGGAGGGGCCCACAGTGCCTCCGTCTCACCCCGAAACCCAGAACCAGCCCAGGGTGGTCAGGCAACGGGGCGGTCACCTGCAGCCCCACCCATCTTCGGAAGACACTGGCCATGTGCCTCCGGCTGTGATCCTGCAAGCCGGAGAGAGACACACAGACCCCCCCCACCGTCAGCGTGGACGCTGGGTCCCCGGGGGATCCCATGTGGCCTCTCAGGAGAAACCCACCCTCAGAGGCCACCTGGCCTGGCTGGGATCGGCTTTAGGGGCTCAGAGGCACCACCTAGACGAGGTGTGCTGGCCCACCCCAGGACGGGGAGTGGGGAGGGCGGGCTCCATGTGAGACGTCTGGGTGCTGGGGACAGGTGCTGTCCTGGGGCCACGGTGGGCAGTGCCGGGCAGCATCTCTGCTCCCAGTGCCCCACGGGTGTCCCTGGGAAGGCAAGGCCTCTTGCAGGCAGCCCTGCTCTGTGCCCAGCAGCCTGTGAGGGGCCATGCCAGGCCTGGGCCTGTGGAGCTGGGGTCCGTCTTCCCGGGGGTCCCTGCCCCTGGGTGCCCAGCCACAGCTGTCTGGGAGCAGTAGGCACCAGCAGCTCATGCGAGCTGGTCCCATGTCCGGCCCGAGCCGCCTAGGAAGGTCCTGAGGGAAGGCAGGTCTGGGTGTTGCCAGAACCACAAGGAGTGGCACTGAGGCCATTTTCAGCAAAGCGGTGAGGCCACAGACTCAACATCAGTGAGAAGACGCCCCGGCGGGCTGGCCAACCCCAGGTCTCGAGGTCTCGCTGTGTTTGCGGTTTGGGGAGTTTTAGAGACACTCCTACTGCTTCCTGAAAGCTCTCAACTGGGCCTGCAAGGCGGGAGCACGAGGCTGGCGCCGGGCGGGCCCTGAGTAAGTCCCGGGCCCCTGTGCGGGGAGCTGTCGGGGTGGGGGTCTGAAAGCAGAGCGATTCGTTGGCCTAAAGGTGGGAGCTTGGTGGAGGGTCTTAACCTGGGCTCCTTTACCAAGAGAGACCCCGGGGTGCCACAAATGCAGCCGGGGGGGTGGGGGACTGGAGGAAGGGATGGTCCCTCTGCTGCCCCTTCAGAGCTGCTGAGATTCCCCTCTGCAGAGTCCCCCGCCCCCCGGCCGCAGTGCTGGGCCGGCTGGGAGCCGGGAGCCGGGGGCTTATCTCCCTGGGAAGCTCTCCTTGCCGTCTGAAAGTGTATCTTAAGTGACGGGAGGGACCCACTGCACACGCAGGGCATAGGGCGTTGGGGGCCAGCGCTGGGGGCCAGGTCCCTGAGGGACTTCCCGGGGGCTGCGTGCTTGTCGCTGATTCTCGGAGGTGGTGGGGAGCCTGGCGGGGTGGGTATAACGCGCGGCCACCCTGGCCTCCAGGGCCTGGTGGGGCCAGAGGCACGTGGGCGAGAGGAGGGACGGAAAGACGGGGGGTCTCTGCTGGGGTGGGCAGCCAGCCTGGTCCTGAGGCTGGGCAGCTCGCAGGCTTCTTGGGACGGTGTCCAGCGCCAGGCACTGGGCGGGGGCTCCCGTAGGTGTCTGCCGAGAACGGTGGGCAGGGGCTGGGCACTGAGGAAGGGGTTCTTCCTGGCGTCTCTGCCTGGACGGTGACAAGGTGGTGTTTTAGGGGTTCCTCCAGGCAGAAGGGAGAGGACGGAAACGCCTCCGGCGACGGTGGGACAAGGTGCGGTGTTCCACCTCCCTAGCCATGGAGGAAGTGGAGGTGCGTTTTAGAAGGCACATTATAAAAAATCTACCTAAATGGGGGAAATGGAGACGGACTCCTGCTGTGCTGGTGAGATGGGGGCCCCCGGTTCAGCTGCCTGAGAGCAAGGAGCTCAGGGGCCGCAGGGGCTGAGCTCCCTCCCCAAAGTGTAACCTGCGCAGAGGCAGAAATAAAGTCGAAGGTCTGAGTGGGAGCAGGTGGGAGTGAGAGGTTGGAAGTCACCCGACAGGCCCAGCCATGGTGAAAGGGTAGAGACGTCCCAGCAAACCCACAGTGACGATGAGTAGCCGGGGACCCGGCTCCACGGCGTGCGTTGGGGCACTGGGAGGTGAGGGCAGCGGGCGTGCTGGACGCGGGCTCGCCCCCTGCGCTTTTGCGTTTGTTTGAAAAGCTCCAGAGTGAAACGTCTGAAAGCGTATCTTAAATGACGGGAGGGACCCACTGCACATGCAGGGCATAGGGTGTCGGGGGCCAGCGCTGGGGGCCAGGTCGCTCTTCACCATGTCACGTGAGCATCCGTCCGGACGTAGTGCTTCCTGTGGGGCTTCCGTGGGCCCTTCGGGGATGTGCAGGCACTAGGGTGGTGCCCAGGGCCAGGGGGGTGGGGTGGGAGGCAGGGGCCACTTGAGCCCAGGGGTGGGTGCGTAGGGGCTTCGGGCTGACCTGGGCCACCCACCCCATGGCCTGTGGCTGTCACAGCCCCCCTGGAGCACAGAGCGGGGACGGAGGCCCTGAGTCCAGCAGGCTGGCATGCTGGGCAGGAAGGGTGGTGAGGCTGCTGGCATGGAAGATGCGTCCCTCTTGGCACCTGACCCCGGGAGAGGATGAGGGGGCACCCAGGCCTATCGGCTCCTGGCCAGAAAGAGCCCCAGCTGCCGGTGGGGAGGGGCCACGGGCACTCTGGGGCTGGCAGGGTGGGGACACCAGGAGGGGACAGTCCACGGCCACCCCGGGAGGAGGCCGGGGCGGGCGGAGACCTGAAGCCATGTGTCCATTGGGCAGGGAAAGGCCAGGACGAAGCCCAAGGCTGGGCTGAGCTCTGCTGGGCAAAAGGCCGGGGCTGGGCATGGGGGCAGGTGCCCAGGCCTGTGGCCATGAGCAGGGCAGGACCGCACCCGGGGCGTGGGGCGGTTCCAGAGCCTGGCTGCTCCGGCCTGGGCCTTCTGTGGCCCCCGGTCCTCTCAACGTGACCCCCGCACCCTGCCAGGGCAGGCAGACTGTGGGTGCCTGACAGTCAGGGACACGGCCCCAGGTCTGGAATCAGCACTCTGCTCTGCACAGACTGCACAGGGCAGGGAGGCCGAGCAGGGGCCCCAGGACCACACAGTGTCAGTTGGTCCGCTTCCTCTGGCTTTTGCAGAAGTGACTTCTAGAGACAGTGGTCCCCTTTCTGCTGCTATCTGCATCAGGGAAGAGCCGGGCGGCGCAGCCCCTGGGGGAAGGGACCACCTCCCAGTTTTCCAGAATCTCAGTTCTGACAAAGGAATCGGGGCCAGGGTGAGGCTTTTGTGTCCCTCTCAGGCTCACGGGGCTCAGGGGCGTCCGGACAGCTCCCAGGTGGGCTGGCACCCCTGCAGCTCATGTGGGCCACCCTCACAGTTGGAGACCCTCCTGCATCCCCCTTCATCAGGCTCAGCCCTCCCTCACCCCCGAGCTGACCGGGCCACAAACCCGCGTGCCACGCTGGCCCCACTGGGTGGCCACCCTGAGCACCTTGGGCCATCTCCTTAGAGGGCAGAGTGTTCGTTCTGCTTGTGGGTCTCAGGGCCAGGCATAGATCTCAGGCAGAGCACCTCTGGGTGGCCCCCTGCCTGACTTGCAGGGGGCTAACTGAGCAACAGGGGTGCAGGGATGGACAGGGGAGGCCCATTGACCCTCCAGGCCCACGCCCACCAGTCCGTCAGGACGTCAGTTTCGAAAGGTCAATGCATTTCTTTGTTGCCTCAGCGCCTTACCTTTGTCTGTATTTTCGAGGTCTTGCTTACAAATCTAAGTCGATGGACTCTCTGCAGTTTCAGGTAAACACCTTGGCTTCCTGTTATTTCCTGGTGTTTCATCGCTTGTCAGCACAGCCGGCCCACCCAGTGTTGGGGGGCGGGGCCTGCACCTGCTGACGCCCCACGGGGCTGGGGGCTCCGCCCGACAGGGGCTGTGGGTGGGGTCTGGGCCTGGCTCCAGGATGGCTGAGGAAGGGTTTAGAGAGCCCACCTCCCCCAGACCCTCTCTAGCTGACAGGATGGAGCTTACATTAGGGGCACCTCTGGTTCAGGAAGGAAGCAGAGAGATGGGGGGGTCAAGAATTCGGCCCCACCTGCCAGCACCCACAAGCCTGTCCACCTCTGTCGTGGGCAGTCTCCCAGGGGTCCCTGTCCCTTTCACAGGAGCAATGTTCATGCACTTTGCATCTCAGGTAATTCTTTCACCAGGAAAAATTCCTAGAAAGGATTTTATCTGCTTAAAAGTGAACCACAGGGCTTCCCTGGTGGCCTCAAAATAAATAAATTTATTTTTTAAAAAAGTGAAGGGCTTCCCTGGTGGCGCAGTGGTTGAGAGTCCGCCTGCCGATGCAGGGGACACGGGTTCGTGCCCCGGTCCGGGAAGAAAGATTCCTTAAATCTTGCTCTAACATTAGACTCTGATTACTCCAGCTACTTGCTTGCAAGTTGCTGTTGAATAACTTTTAATGAAGTAAAATTTCAACAGTCCTTTCCTTGTGTATTTGGAGTGTGTTATAGTCAGCTCAAATTATTGCTTTTTAAATCTGTTTTTTTCTATACCCAGAGACAGATATTCTATATGTTACTTTAATGTTGTGCTGTGTTCCTGTAACAATTCCTTGTATGGTGAATCCTGATAATTTCCTTCAACTGAGATAGGAAAGATTACACCATCATTTCACATTGTCTCTTTGATTTGTCACATTGGCTGGGAGGAAATGCTTCTGGGGAAAAAAAAAAAAAAAAAAGTGAAGCACATTGAAGATTTTTTTTTAATTAATTTATTTTATTTTTTGCTGCGTTGGGTCTTTGTTGCTGTGTGCGGGTTTTTTCTAGCTGCAGCGAGCGGGGGCTACTCTTCCTTGTGGTGCACGGGCTTCTCATTGCTGTGGCTTCTCTTGTTTCAGAGCATGGGCTCTAGGCACCCGGGCTTCAGTAGTTGTGGCACGTGGGCTTAGTAGTTGTGACTCGCAGGCTCTAGGGTGCAGGCTCAGTAGTTGTGCCACATGGGCTCAGTTGCTCCATGGTATGTGGGATCTTCCCGGGCCAGGGCTCGAACCCGTGTCCCCTGCATTGGCAGGCGGATTCTTAACCACTGAGCCACCAGGGAAGCCCACATTGAAGACTTCTGAGACATGTTACCAAATTGTGCTAGAAAACATCAGTGCCCGTTTATCCTCCCAACACAATGAAGGATCCGCTTCCTCACTCTCTTGCCAACACTAAGAATTAAAGTTCTTTATTTTTGCCAACCTGATGGGCAAGAAAAAGACCACTGCTTGGTTGTTTACGTTCGCATTTCTTTGACTATATAAGTGAAGTTGAGCGTTTTCCAATGTGTAGGAGGTACTTTTACTCCTGTGAATTATCAGCTTTGACACTTATTTCTGTTGATTTGTGGGAGCGCTTTTTATATTAAGCCTCGGCTGTCGTATCCCACAGGATGGATACAAGACTTGGCTCTTAACAAATGCTCACTAACCATTTGTCAAATAACTTAATTTGTGATTTAATCTGATTTCCCTAAAGCAATTTCAACCCACCCTTTCTCCAGGTCACGTGAAACTCGGAGGAAACGTCTCAACATTATCGTCATATGACATACGCCGCAGCCCCATCCTGAGCCCAGAGCTGTCAGACATGACAGGTGAGAGCCCCACCCCATGCCTCCTTTGACTTGGAACATTTAGGAGGGAGCCCGTGAGAATTTTTCTACCAATGCAGTTTGTCTCATAACAGGGAAAATTAGTTCAAAAATTAGCATGCAAAAGTAGACTTCTTGAGGGACTTTCCTGGTGGTGCAGTGGCTAAGACTCCGCGCTCCCAATGCAGGGGACCCAGGTTCGATCCCTAGTCAGGGAGCTAGATCCCGCATGCTGCAGCTAAGAGTTCGCATGCCACAACTAAAAAGATCCCACATGCCGCAACTAAGACCTGACGCAGCCAAATAAATTAAAAAAAATAAGTAGACTTCTTGAAATAAAAACTAACTCAGAGACAATAAAGCCGGAGGCTTTCCATCAAGACTTCAGGAAGCACCCACTTCTTAATTCTTTTGAACTGCTAGAAAAGAACCAAGAACAGGACTGAAGGAGATGTGGAGGCTCTGGGGTCCACCTGGGCCTCGTATCCTGCCCACTTCTTGTGAGAGACCCCGTGCCGAGCCACAGATGCCCCACAGAGCCTCCTTCCCCTCCTGGGGGCTCGTGTGCCCCCAGCCCGGGAGACTCCTTTCCCAAGCAGTCAGAGTCCTCTGAGTGCCCCGTGGTGGGAGGGGCAGGCTCTCACCTGTGTGCTCAGTACTGGTCACCAGACGGCTTGGGGGAGGGGACTGGGTGTGGGCAGGTGAAGACGGGAGGCCATGTGCCAGCCCTGTGACCCCAGCAGGTGGCATGTGGCTGCACTAACTATACTGAGTCCAGTCGGCACCCTGGGGGGTGGGTGGGAAGTGTTGGTAGGGGTGGCTGGGAGCAGCAAGGGGCCCACAGGCCTCACCTGGGCCTCCACTTGGGTTTTGGGTTCCCTCGCGCTCTGCCCCCCAGAGTGTGGCAAGACAGGGTCGGTGCTGGGATGGAGCCAGGGCAGTGTTGGGGTCCAGGGGGTTGGGCTGGCGCCTTGGAGGACTTGCATGGCTGGGAGGGACGAGCCGTCCAAGCAGGGCCAGCCTGTGCAGACAGGTGTCACCTTTCTCCCACCTGAGAACTGCCCTCCGCAGCCCGGTGCTCCCCTACGCACCGCCGGCCCCTCCGCTTGGTGCAGCCCGACTCTCATGTGGAGAACTGACAGCAGTGTCTGATGACTCCCCGACACCCTCCGTCTGCACGTGGAATGAAGCCCACGTCCCAGAGGTTAGGGCCATGAGTGGGGGCCCAGAAAAGGGAACGCCTTGCTCCCATCGGGACAGCCACTGTCAAAACCAAAATACCGGGCTTCCCTGGTGGTGCAGTGGTTGAGAGTCCGCCTGCCGATGCAGGGGATGCGGGTTCGTGCCCCGGTCCGGGAAGATCCCACATGCTGCGGAGCGGCTGGGCCCGTGAGCCATGGCCGCTGAGCCTGCGTGTCTGGAGCCTGTGCTCCGCCACGGGAGATGCCACAACAGTGAGAGGCCCGCATACCGCAAAAAACAACAACAACAACAAAAACACCAAAATACCAAGTGCTAGCGAGGATGTGGAGAAATGGGAACCCCTGTGTGCTGTTGGTGGGAACGGAAAATGGAGCAGCTGCTGGGGAAAACAGTATGGAGATTTCTCAAAAAGCTAACATAGAGAATCACCATATGATCCAGCAATCCACAAAAAAGAAGTGAACTTGGGACTTCCCTGGCAGTCCAGTGGTTAAGAATCTGCCTTCCAATGCAGGCGACTCGGGTTCGATCCCTAGTCAGGGACCTAAGATCCCACATGCCGCAGGGCAACTAAGCCCACGCGCCACAACAAAGAGCCTGCGTGTGGCAGCTAAGACCCAACGTAGCCAAAAATAAATAAGTGAACACAGGTGTGGAAGAGGTATTTACACACCCATGTTCATGGCAGCACTACTCACAATAGGCAAGATGTGGACGTAGCCCAAGCGTCCACAGACAGAAGAGTGGAAAACCCTAATGTGGTCCATCCACACTATGGGCTATTACTCTGTCCTAAAAAGGAAGGATGTTCTGACATATGGACCCTGAGAATATGATGCAGAGCGAAAAAGTCACAGAAGGTCACATTTGTTACAATCCACTCACAGGAAGGGCTGGGGGGTGAGTGGGCAGGGAGTGTTTAATGGGGACAGAGTTTCAGTGTTGCAAGATGAAACATTCTGGAAATGGATATGGTGACGGTTAAACAACAATGTGAATGTACTTAGTGCTGCCGAAATGGACACTTAAAATGGTTAAGATGGTCACTTTTATGTATATTTTACCAGAATTTTAGAAGTTGGGAAAAACAAGTGAGTGGCACAAAAGGGTGTCGGGAGCCCGCTGGGGGCCGACAGCTCCATCTCCCTGGGGACCTTCACAGCGAGCTCTCAGCTGCAGAACGAGCACAGCTCTCTGCCCGCCTTCGCTGCCCTGCCGCTATAACTTCCACATCAGGTCGCCCTGCGGGGGGCGGGGGGTGCTGAAAACCATGCGTGGGCACTGGGGCCGAGTCCCTCGGGAGGGCCCTCGAAGCCCGAGGGATCCCGGACGGCTGCCCGCGACCCCACGGCCATGTCAGCGTTGGGATGCACCGAGGTTTCCTTGGCTGTTGGATGTGCATGTGGAAAGGTCCAGGGGTCTTCAACCTAAGCAGCTAAAGAGCTTCCAGGCTTCAGGGGTCACTGGGCTGCGGAAGCAAGGGCCACGTTCTCTGCTGTCACTGAGGCCACACCAGGCCTGTCCAGCCTGCTGTCCACTCCCCTGGCCGGATCACGGGGCCATCACCGCCAAAGGCTGCTGCAGCTGAGGGGCAGTGGGAAGCTCCACCTGCGACCGGGCGCTGCCTGTGGTTCCCGCTGACCTCAAGGGGCTGCTCCATCCACAGTCTGCTGTCCGAGGTGCACAGGGCCTAAACGGAACAGCATCTCCCGAGGCCAGGGCACAGGCTCTGGGAGGTGCGCATTCCCCCATGGCCACCCAGATGTTCCTGTCGCATGGCAGGTCCCAGGGGCGGGTCAGGAGGGAGAGGGTCCAGGGAAGCTCTGGGCACAGGTCAGGCAGTGGGTGCTGGGGTCACCGCCACGAGAGCAACCCAGGAGAGGCAGGCTGGGCGGGAGAGGGAGGGTGCCTGGGACACGCTGGCTTCCTTCCCCATGTCGTGTGGGGTCCCTCAGCCCAGGGAGCCCCCGGGGTGAGTCACCGCAGTGTCCGTGGATCCTTAGATGGGGGGCAGGGGGCTCACCCCTACAGCAGGGCGCTTTGTCCTATGACTCATTCCTTGTCTGCTCGGAAACACCTGGTGGGGAGGCAGATGAGGGCACCACCTCGCAGGTGCCTGGAGCACCCCTCCTCACTGGCTTCTTTCCCCCTGTTGAGAGGGGTGGTAGCTGGTGTCCCAGGCAGGGCTTCAGGGGAGGGGCAGGTGGGCATCCAGGTCCCGCCATCCTCCTGGGTCCTCCATGACAAGCAGGCACTGGAGCTTGGAGGAGCCCCCAGTGCCAGTCTGTGGTTCTTCCCAGCCCCCCATCCCAGCAGGGCCCCCAAAGCCCTGGTGAGCTTCCACTTCCCATGCCGTGGCCCACCAGCCCGGCTCTGCACGGTCCCAGTGCGAACCCTGCAAAGCCCAGGTGACACATCTGAAGAGCGT